CCTTCTTGGCTGAAGTCGAGCAGGGTCTCGTTGGACTGCTTCCTCGGATGCCTCGCTCTACTCCGAACCGCACTTACAGGTACTCGCGGGGTAGCGCCGCGCGCCGCGCCCGCCGTGCTGCGCGCAGAAAGTATGTCCGCTTCATGCGGCCCGACACGACAGCCTGACTTCACTGGAATGACTTCAAGTGGATTCGGTCTCGCGGAGATGGGGTCGGAATAGTCTAGGTCAGCCGCATTGGCTCTAATACGGTTTTATTTGCAGAAAAACGGTCGAAGAAATGTGTGCCTGCCTGACGCCACACTATCACGAGACGAAATCCAACTTTTCCCTCCTTCCCACAGGTCCCCGTCGGTGCGCGCGTCCGTGGACGAGGACCTCTCGGGGCGGGCGCTGGAGTCGGTGACGGCGAGCGTCTCCCTCGACGCCTCTCTGAACGCCGCCCTGAGCGCGTCGCTCCCTTGCGCTAGCAGCACCACGCCCGGTGAGTGTCCACACCATGCTCGCATCCTGGAGGAGGCCATGCCCGCCGCCCGCCTTGCTTCGGCCTACGGCACTCAAACAAACTCGCTCCGCTCCCAGGTTTGAAACCGGCGCCGTCGCACCAGGTCGTGGTGGCCATCGACTTCGGCACGACCTACAGCGGCTACGCCTTCTGCTACACCAGAGACCCGGACTCCAACATCCACATGATGCGCAAGTGGGAAGGTTTGAACCCGTTCTTGCAAGGCGGTGTTGCCCGCCGTGGTAGGCGCGGGATAAGGGGGGGGGGTGTCAGGGGAGGGGGCAGACGACTGCTGTCGCAGACGCAGCACCACCCAGCCCGGTTCGCGCCCGCGCGCGCTGGCCCGGCGGAGCGTCGTACTCGCCGCTGCGGTGGTCGGTGTGTTCGTGGTTCCGCCGCGAGCCAGGCGCACAGCTTTCGCCAGGAGGTGGATTGGCGGGTGGGGTCGCGACCAACTTTGCGCACACTCCCACCGCAAGTCCGCCTCGAGGGCCGCGGGTCCGCGGGGCGGCGCGCGGCGCGGTGGCGGCCGGCCCATGACGCGCCGCGCCGCGCCCGTGGCCGCGCTGGGCTGGGCTGGCCCCCACCCGCTGCAGCACAATGTCGCCTGAGAAAAGAGGCTGCCGCCCGTTCAAGAAAACAAGAGATTGTTCCCCGCGCTAAGATATCAGCTGTCATCGTGGAGCCCCGCTTGAGGGACTGGCAATACGTTGCGCCCCGGCCTGGCCGGCATGTTCCTGACCCAGACAATATAGCGTGTTCCTCGGCGAAAGAAAACACTGGCCCACGGCTCACGGCCGACCGGTTGCAGGGCTTCAGTCAGGTGGAAGGAGGGGGGAGAGATGGTGAACGGGAGGAGTAGGAGGAACCGGGGAGAGGGGGAGGGGGGGGGCAGAGAACGGGAGAAGGGGGCAGCGAGAAGGGGAACGCGGGAGAGGGACTGGTCCAGGACACGGGGACCTCCTCGGCCGCCTGCGCACCTGATACAGTGACTTTAACTTTTCCTCCTGTGAGTGTCCTTGGAGGTCCCTGCAGCTCCTGTTACCGTGCCGCAAGTGTGACGTCAGAGGAACGTCACCGGTGAGGCGACCACACCCACGGCGATAAGCCCGGGGGGCGAAACACGACCGGAAACTGTAGATTAGAAAAATATACGGGGGTCACAAGGCGACTTGAAATATCAGGGACACGGATTTGAAAAAATAGAAAGACAACATTTTACTAGTAAGTCTCTAGTAAGGTAGCTGGGCTCGTTCCGTACCAGCAAGTTAACTGAGTCTTAAGGCTAGAACCTAGAATAACACCAGTGTGATGTTGTATTTTGTCCAACTAAACTTAACATCTTGATTTTTTAAAAAGTAATCATTAGCATCTCGCATTTATTTTTTTTGCTATTACTCGTTAATAAGTGTTTCAGGAGTTTTCTTTTTGTTTACTTCAACAGTTTATGAATGTGTTGGACGCATTTACATTTACACCGTCCCCATGTCGAAAAACATAAAGCTTAATGATAAGGTGGTGCACGGAACTCAGAGGGCAGGGTAGCCCAAAGAATTCTCTAAAGCTTCGTTTTCCACAACAAAAAATAACGCACATATGGGGAGTATAGGTTTATTGTACGTGTCTATTTTAAACGATTTTGCACGAGCCACTTCCGAAAAGAGTAAAGTAAACGCTGGTCAGTGTCGCCCCCAAAAGGGTGCAATTAATCTATCTCCGTTCCGGTCGAGTTTTGGGTTGGGTGCGCGAGCCCTTCCAGACGACGGAGGCCGCACTGGGCGCGGTGATGCTGCGCAGGCCCGTTCGAAGCTTGGCGCCGCCGCAACGCGGGGCGGACCAGGTCCTGGTCCTGTCGCCATGGCGACGTGACGCGCCGCGTGTCGCGGTTGCGCGGCCGCCGTGGGCCTCGACCGCCGCCGGTCCGCATTCCTGCCACCTCCTGGCCGCGCTGCTGCCCGGCCCGGCAACGCGACTGGGGCGCCACAAGACATGCCGATCGTGGCTTTGCCGCATTCCCCGTAGATAGCGCCACCGGGCCGCGGATGGCGCGGCGGCGGCGCGTCGTCGCGCTGCACAGTGTCTGCCGCGGCCGCCGTCATTAGCGCCGGCACCGCGGACACCGCGGAGATGGGCGTTCGACGGAGAACCACGCGGTTGCGTTGCCCTGACCGTCGGCTGACTCGCCTGGCCATGCCGTCCGGCCCACCTCCTTGCCCTCCTCCTCCTCTGCCGCAGGCGGGGACCCCGGGCTGCACAACGAGAAGGCCCCCACGGCCCTGCTCCTCACCCCCGACGGCGCCTTCCACTCGTTCGGCTTCCTGGCCAGGGACACGTTCCACGACCTGCACCCCGACCACGCCAAGCGATGGCTATACTTCGACAAGTTCAAGATGGCGCTCATCAGCCAGACGGTAGGTGACGGTGACGACGCTGCTGTGGCACGGACCCCAGGAGGATAAGGGACGGTGATGACCAGCTTCAACACTGTCAAAAAAACTGTAATCAGCACAATCGATATCGGTCATATATTTGCCTGGTATTACCGTACTTGCATGAGTACGGTTATGAGTACTTGCGCAGTACTGAATTTTTTAGCAAGGAGCCTTGCTTGCGGGCACTACAGTTTAATAAGTCCGGATGTCCTGCTCATCGTGTACGGAAATCCTGTACTTTTTCGGTACTTTGCCACAGGATTTTTAACAGTCCATGGTGTTGCAGACGCTGACCCGCGACACTGCGCTCACCGCAGCGAACGGACGGCAAGTGTCGGCGCTCACGGTACTCAGCCTGTCGCTGGGACATCTCCGCCAGCGCGCCCTGGCTGAGCTGGCCGCCGCTGACCAGGGCGATCCTGACCGGGGCGACCCCGACCTCACGCAGTCCGTGCGCTGGGTGCTGACCGTCCCCGCGCTCTGGGGGCCATCAGCTACACAGCTGCTCCGGGAGGCCGCGCACGAGGTGAGTGTTGGGAGAAGGAAGGCGTGTCGCCGCGGCCGGGCGCCCGGCGGGGTAGGCAGACCCGCAGCACACGCGCGCTCGACGGGACTGCCTGCCCCCAAGGCTGGAGACGCCGGTGGGGTAGGCAGACCCGCGGTACACGCGCGCTCGACGGGACTGCCTG